TTCAGGGCTTTTAAACAGTGGTGCCCACGATGTAGCTAATGAACTAAAATATGAAGAACAGAAGCACCGAGTGCCTTCCTGCGGAGCCCTGCTCTCCGCCGTCATGGCTGGAGAACCAATTCAGCTCTCAGTAAGTGAGCATGCCAGGTCCCAGCAGAGCTACCACTGGTGCCCTGAGTCAATGAAGCTTGTGACTTTTCCTCTGTAACGAGCCCCACCGCCCCATATGCCTCTTCCTCTTGTGTCCTACTGTTCTGTCCAGCTGCTGTGGATGCTGAGCGAAGGACAGCCCTTGGTCTTCCAACTGTAACGTTGGGTAACAATGAAACTCAGAAAGTTATTCTATATGAAGATACTGTCACTATTTGAAACAATAGTGTGTTGCCCCAAAGAGGGGAAAACAACAGCAAACTTTTTGTGCCTCCAGGCGTGACCTGTTTTCCTGATGAGGATTTATGGACCTTCCCCTTGGCACCACACCTGTATTTCAGTGACCTTGGTTAAAAGGACAGCTCCTACCTAGAGTCTGTGGTTCAACCATTAATGACTAATTCCAAGGCAGAAGAACAAAGTGAGCCATTGCAAAGTTAATACCACTGACAAATACAGCACTTGCCAGGTGCCAGTAACTGAACTCAGTGTCTTGACTCTTAACCCCCACAACCTTTCAAAGAAAGCTCTACCTCCTCCCACCCCCAAAGAGGAAATCTGTGTGTATGGAATTCAGCTTTCTGTCGTTGTGGCACAGGACCTGAGACAGTCAGCTTGCAAGGGAAAAGGGTTCATCTTGGTTCACGTTCAGATAGTTGCATCCATGGTGAGTCAGCCTTGCTCTGTCTGTAAGCACACAGTACGTAATGATGCAGGCATTAGGCAGGGGGTACCTGCTCACTGCACTAGAGCCTGGGAGTGAGAGACAGCAAGGTCTGGAGTCCCTGTATCTCTTCAAAGGCATGCCCCAGTGACCTAACTTCCATCCTCAAGTGTCCGTCATGCCTGCTTACTGACCCCACCTCATAGTGCTGTACCCTATCAGAAGTGGGGGACCAAACTGTCCCAATATCAACGGAGACCTCTCTCTCCCTTCAATTCCGTCAATTCGGGCATCATATATTCTGTAGGCCTTGTTTCTAATTGTGCTTCCGTCTGCAATTGTTCACGATGAGTTGAAACTTTTATCGAATGTCTTTGTCTGCAGAAATGACATACATTTTCCTCTGTCCTTGAAAGAATTTTTAGCAGATGTAAAATTCTCACGCTTCCTCCCCTTAGTGGTGTGTCATTCTATTGCTTCCTAAAGACCCCTGCATCTGATGAAAGATCAATGGTTAATCTCATTTCAGGATATCTATGACACACGCATTTCTCTATTATTCTAAGATTCCCTGCCTTGGGACTTTGACAATTTGTATGTCTCAGTGTGTGGGTTTATCCTGCTTAAAGTTCAATGAGCTTGGATGTGCTCATACATACATACATATTGTCCATTGGATTTGGGATGGGTTTAGTAAATGTTTTTCTGCCCTCTCCCTCATTCCTTTTTGGGACTTCTATAGTATGTATGTTGATAGTTTGCTCCCTGGACCCTCGAGCTGTTTGTTTTCCATCTTACATAGTCCAGGTTGACCTCACACTTGCTATGTAACTGGGACTTTGAAGCCTGGTCCTCCTGCCTCCACTTCCCAAGTGCTGGGGTTATAGGGTGTGCAGTACTGCACCTGGCCCTAGTGTTCTCACTCATTCTTTCTCTTTTATAGACTTGGTCACCTCAACACTATTATCTCCTAGCTCACTGAGTCTCCTGTCTACCTTCCCAAGTCTGCTGTGGAACTCCTTTAGTGAATTTCATTTTGGTTATTGTACTTTTCTTAAAACATCTGGCTTCAGAGAGGAGAAAGGAAGAGGATTTGTCGTTTTAAATATTCCAATTGATGCCACTAAGACAAACCACTGTACCTTGAGAAAAACTTTATCTGACAGTTATCCTTGTCAGACCCCACCAGATGAACCAAAGTGCACAATCTCAAACTTTTAGAGGTCAAAATCCCACTGCTTTCCCTGGCACCCCCAACTATTCCAGGAATGTGGACTTCTGTAGCCAGACTTGGGGCTGAAGAATGGGCATATGAGCAGGTTCAGCTGTGTGCTCACAGAGATCAGCTTCTCTCTTCATCAAACAGGGTTATAGTGGTCTCTGAGTGGGTCCCAGAATTTGTAATAGTTAACAAGAGTCACTCTTTCTGGCTCGGTAATTGTTTCAGTGAGCGGCTGACCCCGAGACTTCCTGCCTTGGCAATTTCTATGATGTTCATTCTGCAGGTGACAAAAGTAAGACACAGGAAGGTTTGGACATTTGTTCAGGGCAGGGAGTCTGCCTCTAGAGCAGTGGTTCTCACCCTCTAGGTAGCAACCCCTTTGGGGGTCCAACAACCCTTTCACAGTGTTGGCCTAAGACCATTCAAAAACACAGATATTTACATTATGATTCATAACAGTAGCAAAATTACAGCTATAAAGTAGCAATAAAATAATTTTATGGAGGAGGGGGATCACCACAATATGAGGAACGGCATTGAAGGTTTGCAGCATGAGGAAGGCTGAGAACCTGATTCGTGAACCATGCCACGACAGTCTTACACTGTCGTGTAAGACTGTAAGACTTACACGTAAGTAAGTGTAAGACTTACTAAGTCTTGCACTTAGGCCATAGTTTCGCCTTCTCCCTTAGCTGGAAGCATTAAAATAACGCTACAACAGGGAACGTGTTTAACCATCTGATCTCCAACAACGTGAACTAGGGTTTTTCTCCACTATATGCTTCAGGGACATAGAAAGACCACGTTCTCCTGATCCTACATGCCTTCTAGATCATCTCAGGAATCTTCCCGTGCACCTTGCCCACTAAGTTTGGTGAAGTTACTTCAGCTTTTCAGGTTGTGCTAAATACTCACATGATCTGATTCTCTCCTCCCAGGCCCAACTACAAGAGAGGAGTGACCCTCAGCAGCTCCTGCTGGACTCCAAACACATGTTTCCTGTTCTCTTTCCATTTAATCCGTCTTCTCTGACCATGGACTCGATCCACATCCCAGCATGCCTCAACCTGGAGTTTCTAAATGAAGTCTGAGGATGCATGCTTCCAAGGCAAACAAGGAAGCATATGCAATCAGCTGAGAGAATTCTAGATCAATATGCCCAAAGTAGATCAAACCAGAGTTAGAGAACCCGTGGAGAGTACCGAACTAAATGAAGTGATGCACACTGTCATTAGTTTTTGTATATGCTGCTCAGAATAAAAACACTTGAATGTGGAAGACTGTTAGAGGCTTGACTTCAGTTTAAACAAAGGCATGCCCAAATGAACAGTGCCACATAGCTCCAGTTGTCAGTTCCAGAGTAGAAGTGCCTAGCTGCAATCTTTGTGTATAACTGGAGAATGTCCAAGTTAAGAAAATATTAAAAATGATGATGTAAATTGCCTTCGTGGGTCTTTCAACAAATAATGATATTAATATCATAAACATGACAGATATTGATAAACCAAAGGGGTGTATGAGCTTGTGGTGAGAGTTTTAAGAATAGTATGAGCCTGAGCCTCCATGGACGCTTCCTCAAAGTATTCCCTAACGCCCGTGAGTACAAGATGATGTGGACCCTGGTAGCCTGAGTTTTTGTGAGAGTCTCAGGTTTATGGGAGAGCTGCTCTAGTCATGCTGCCGTCACATGGACTGCGTGTGAGAAAGGTGGAATACAGTCTCCAGTGCCAGTCAGTGCCCTGAGACCAGCAAAGCCTCTGCAACACTGTAAATATGAAAAGATGGTAGGTGAGAATGGATAACTTTTATCAGCAGGCCTAAAAACCGAAGGAGCGTGAAAGCTTTTTAACTCCCCAATGTCGCTAAACCTTCTACCAGGGCCTCACAGCGCTGTGGATTCCAGACCCCAAAATCACAAGGGAAACAGACTTCAGTTCCAGAACCTAGTTGTCTGGAAAGTCTCTGGAAGAGAATGCATGGTCACTAAGTTATTATTCAAAGATTTATGGCTCTTTTTTAAAACTGCTTTGAAAAACTTCAATAGTTTAGGGCCAACTTTCCCTTCTCAAGTTATTTTCAACATTTTTTTCAAACTTTAAAAATCAACGTAAATATTTTACTATGAAAGATTTAAAAGACTATTTAGTAATAATGGAACAGGCTTATGTACTTGCTGCTCTTAGAATTTTGTTTTGCTCTGGGGGAGTTTTTGGGAATTGCGAGCCAAGGTTTGGTTGGACAACCTATAAATTCTTTCTACCCATTTTTATAATCAGTATTTATTAAAAGCATACGCTGTCCCTATGACAGCAGCAGGTTGTTTGCAAATCGTACAGGACCCTCATTATCACGCTGAGATTTCTCCGTACTTTAGAAGATCTCCCAGAATGTTGCCCAGTTTAGAAGGTTCTTCAGAATACAGTAGACTCCAAGCTAAAATCCTGTACTTCCCAGTCCTCCGTGCCTGCTGGGGCCAGAACAAGAAACAGCACCTGGCTTGACTAAGTCTGACAACAAATGCACTGTTGTCTGCATCATCCCTTCTGTGTCCACAATAAACACCACTGCTGCTCTTGGGGGTCTCTCTCCAAAAGCAGTAGAGTTCCCCCCGTAGTTACAGCCCCTGACATCTGACTCTTAGGTGTCTGTCTCTAAAGTGACGTGTCTGTATCACACCTTTCAACCCCCAAATGCAAACTGTTTGGAAAGCCAGTTAAAAACAAAACAAAACAAAAAAACTGGATCTGTGGCTACCTCTTTAAAGTTATTAATGAAAATAATTTACTTTTTAGTACACTTTAGTGGTCAAATTGACTCATGTAAAGACACTCAAGAACACCAAAAATGCCTTGTTAAGCATTTTTAGGAGGCGGTGTCTTCCCAAATGTGGCTCTGTGCCCATACAAGGTTTAAAACCATCACCCCCGCATCCTACTCCCTATGTGGGTTACTACTCTCCTATTCCTGGTTGGTCAGGAGGTACAAAGGTTCACTAAACAAAAGCATAGTAATTAGCCAGAAGGAGGGAGGGGTTAACTAACCCTCTCTACAGCCTAAGAAACAACAGCTTCAGTTCTTCCAGAAGACCAGAGTTTCCGCTGGAGCTGTGCTTAACAATGCAGTGGTTGCTGGGCCTTTACATCCTCCCTATTTCATTGCAGACCTGGAGGGTGAAAGGTACCTTGTGAGAAACTCTAAGCATTTTGTTTAAACATTTTTTGTTCTGTGTACTTTTTCCCTGGTGCAGGGGATTTAACCCAGGCCCTCAGGCATATCAGGCGAGCACTCTACCCCCAGCCTCCCTCAGCAGTGGGTTCCCTTCCCCCTTTAAAGTTCATTTTAAGAACTTCCCAACTTCACGAAATCAATATCTTTTACTTTAAATAAATGCGACACAAGCTTGAACTCTTCTCTAGGTATCTCTGCTTCTGAGTAGTTACAATTCCATCACGTTCCTTTAGCAGTTGCTGAAATAACCGGCTTCCCACTCATTCCCGGAAGGAGTTGCTGTCGGAAGAATTTAATGTTCCTATGGGCTTCTGATTTCATCTCATGAAGCAAGCACCTTCAAAACTAACCCGTATTCACACGTCCACCATTTGTGTTTTCAGCATTAGCACAGGGGTACTACCCACTTCCTAGAGTAATGGGTGTGTTTCCACGTAAATTAGTCACCACGGAAGCAGACAGCATGTTATCTGTGTGCACCCTCCCCAGGCCGTCCCAGCTGCAGTTAGAGGGACAGCATCTGTAGGCTCACTTCACAGACCCAATGGCAGGCTTTTTCCCCCTTCCGTGGAGCACATCATTGGAGCGGCTTCCCCTGATTTTCCTTAGGATAAAATGTCAAGGTTCTTGTGAAAACGAGGAGTTTAGAGAATGTAGGTCCCTAAAATCTATCACTAATTTAACTATTAGATCCCTAATGAATGCATTGAGGACTGTGGCAACAAACTGAAATCTTTTGCATAAATTAACTACTTCCCAAACACTTGACTGCTGAGTAAGGGGGCGCTAAACATGCTAGCGCTGGGCCTCTCATCCTTATAACATTTGCCATTGATTCCTAACATTGACTCGCTATATGAGTCAAGTAACCAAAGCTTCACTTTTTACACATTGGTCTCATATTCACAGAATTATAGAGGGTATAAAATTAGAGGATAATGCAAATGACAAACAAGATTTTTTTCTTATGGACATCACTGGATATTAAAATCTTTTTTAAAAAAGATTTGGGACAGCAAGATGGCTCAGTGGGTAAGAGTGCTTGCCATGGAAGCTGACAACCTGTGTTCAGTCCCCAGAGACCACAGTGAAAGGTCTTTTGACTCACACACATGAGCCATGGCCCATGTCTGCCCTCACACTAACAAAATACATTCTGACCAAGGGAATCAACCAGATGAAATTAGGCTACTGCCTGGAAGCACACTGTTAAGAAGCCAATTTGGATATAACATTTTGCAATCAACTGGCATTGAGATAAAGGCCTGCCTCTCTGAGGGAGTCCACAAAATATTCGGGTAAATCTAACACTGCAGAAGAAATGCTACTGAAAAAAATATATTTTTCATTTTGGACAAGTCTGTAAACTACAGCTTTGTTATAGAAAATGCTTATAATGGTTGCTGTAACTATTCAGCTGTGAATAAAAATTTGTTGAAATAAATACTTTTGAATAAAGTGTGTGCCAAATCTGAGCAAAATTTAAAATGACAGGCTGAGTAAAAGTAGTATTGGCTACAGTCTATTTTATTAAAGATTTGTATGCATATGCACCTATAGAAGTGTGTGCACACATATGTGGGGTGTATGCACTTGCAGTCTCAATCATTCTGTCTCGCCTGAACCTACAGCTCTGTTTCCTCTGGTAGACTGGAAGAGTACAAACCCCAATGACTCCTCTTGCTTGCGTTTGCTGCTTGTTAGGTGGGCACCAGAAACTGAAGTCTGGTTCTTGTGATTTTTGAACAAGTGCTTTTAACCTGAGCCATCTCTCTAGCCTCCTCATAGTGTGTGTGTGTGTGTGTGTGTGTGTACACCTACCCATGCCAGTTCATGTGAGGGGCCAGGGAAGGATGCTCAGTACCTTCCTCTATCACTATCTACCTTATTCCATTTAGACAAGGTTTCTTGTCTTGTTCTTTGGAAGCGTACTTTCAGGGCTAGGTGGCAAGCTGTCGATATCCAATCATCTCTGCTCTCCAATACTACAGTTATAAATACGCCTGTGCACCCGCTTTTTGTGTGATGTGGATTTGAACTCAAGTCCTCCTACTCACACAATAGACACTCTTATCCAGAACCACCTCCCTGGTCCTTATTTTTTTTTTTCTTTTTGATTTTTCTAGACAGGGTTTCTCTGTGTAGCTTGGAGCCTGTCCTGGCACTAGCTCTTATAGACCAGACTGGCCTCAAACTCACAGAGATCCGACTGCCTCTGCCTCCCAAGTGCTGGGATTAAAGGCATGCACCACCACTGCCTGGCTCCCTGGCCCCTATTTTTAATGTTTCCTTGAGAAATTTTATTCTGGGGCATAGATTCAGTTAAGCGTGATTGTTTAAACTAGGGGTCAATACACAGCCACCTGTATTGGAGCTGGGAGAGGGTTTGCTCTAGAACAGCAGGTCTCAGCCTGTAGGTCATGACCCCATTATAGGTCAAATGCCCTTTTCACAGGGGCTACCTAAGACCATTGGGGAAAAAAACATATTTACATTACAATTCAAAACTAGCAAAATTACAGTTATGAAGTAGCAACAAAAATAATTTTATGGCTGGGGGTCACCACAACACGAGGAACTACATTAAAGGGTCGCAGTATTGGAAAGGTTGAGAACTACTGGTCTAGAAGATAACAAGGAATATTGAGCAATCACTCTAGAGCTTTAGCATTCAGTGAAGTTTGGGTATCAAGAAAGACTAGCAGACTGACAAAAAAAGAATGGAGCCCAGAGACAAGCCAAGCAAACTGTATGTGTAGCTATGTTAGAGATACATTAAGCTGGAAGCGAAATTTTCTGCGAGCTCGGAAATAAAGCATTTCCACTGATAAAGACAACACCATGTTGTCATCTGCATCCTATAAAAAGCAAGATCTCAATGTCTTTTTTTTTTAATGTGAAAATTGACAAGCCCATTCTAAAATCTCTGTGGAATTGCAAAAGTTCCTAGGAAGATGGGAAGCTTATCCCTGGCAAGTTAGCTATGTGAGTATAGCATGTGTCAGAAAAATGAACCAGTGGAATGAAACAGACCGGTAGCTGAATATCTGCCCAGAAACATAAAACTCCTACTTCCTCCCAAGGAAAAAGCATCAAAATCACCTAGGAATTGGTGAAGGTCGCATCTCCAGCCCTTCCTACACTTACCAAACAAGGCATCTCCATGGATGGATGATGCTTTCAGACACGCAGCCCCAGGAACCACTATGGAAATTTTATGGTAGGCGAAGGTGTAGCACAAGGTAGAAGGCGTACACAACATGTTCCAGACTCTGGTTTAGTCTCCAGTTCTGCATTTTAAAACCTAGTGATGTTTACAATGTATTAGTGAAAAGTCTCTGGACCCAGAGTCCAACCAGAGGATAGAGTCCTTTTCTCTGGCAACTGACAGAAGAATACACTCAAAGGAAGCTTTACCTGGTCCTCTGAGCTAGGCCTGTAACATTTTACATGTCAAGTTGTATTTACACATGAAACCTTACCAGTCAGCGGCTGAGAAAGAAAGGCAGCTCCAAATCTAGGAACTGGCTAAAGCACACATGGTTGCCACTACCAGACAAACATGATCTTATAAAGGCCAACGCCAACTGTGATCTATGTGAGATGAAACAAGATGACTTCCTAAGTTCATCTAAGCACAGAAAAATGGAAACCATGGAACACTAAGTACCCCAGCTACCATGAGGGACTACAGCTTCTTCACTATGTGTGGCTCAAGCCAAGCTCTACCCAACATTTTCTCAGAGTGTTTACCAGTGTTCCCATTAAATTGTATTGCCCAATGACATCATGACAATCTTAGTTTGATGAAGTATACTTATCTTAGACTAGGTTGCTACTCTTGGGACAAGATCTCACTATGTAGCCTGGCTGATCTAGTACTTACTGATTCCCTCTCCCACCTCCAGACAGGAACTCCTGCTTCTTTGGACCTTAACCAAACACCAAAATCCTAGCATCTTCTTGCTGAGATACAATCAATTCCCTGAGGCATGCCCTTGGTGTGCACTCCTCGTATGAACATTAACTACAAACGTTTCTCAGAACCTATCTGACTGAATGGCATCCAAACAATGTTGTCCACCAATATCATTGCTTTCCAGGGCGACCCTGTACTCAAGGATGTACTGAGATTTGCTCTAAGCTGTATTGCCACATGACATTTTATCAAAGGCTTGTTGGAATTTGCAAATGGCTTGCCAACAGAGAAGAAGTTAAGTCTAAGACGGTGCCTCACGGCTACTGGAGCTCAAGACAGGGTAAACTTACAACAAGCAAGCTCTCAAATCGACGTCTACCACTACATGACTGTAGTTTATTTCTTTATCCTTGTTTGGCAGCTTGAACTTCCTAGAGAGCAGATAATTGCTGTAAGTAAAGACCAGAGCCAAGCTAATATTGGCCTTATAATTGAAGTTCTCACCAAGGCAGACTAACTGTATGCATGCACAGAGCTTTCCACTTACACTGCCACTATGTGGGAGTGGGGGGTGGGGACGACACAGGGTCTTGTACACACCCTGACACGAATTGACTTCCTATCTTCCTCAGCCTCTAAAGTGCTGTGATTATAGGCCTGTACCACAGACAGGTTATAAAACTATGGCAGCTCCCAAGGACTTAGCTTGCTCTCCTCTGCTGCCCATACTGCAACTTCTGTCAACACTGATTATAGGAAAAGACAGAAAACTGTAAGCATGGAAGAGTGACTCAGAAAGAGTGGAAGAAAAGGCTGAAGCTGGACAGTTCTGAGATCTCGGGTAATCTGAACAGCAGAATTTACAGATTTACAATGGACTCACTAATTTCCAATTTTATGTTAACACTACATCTTTCCCTCCAAAATTAACAACAGAAAGATAACATTGCATTTCTAAAAACATTGGAGGCTAAACCTGTAAGGGCGGAATAATGCTATCTCTTGTCTAGACAGGTAATAAATAATGCTATCTGTTGTCTAGACCAGTTTATTTTGAAAGGCATAGCATTACAGGAGTACCTGTCCAAATACCTATTTAACTACCTTAGAGATACTTCTACGTAATTTTGTAGCTTAGTTGAAGAATACTCCCCTCCTTTTTGTGAAGAATGTTAAGCCTCCAGAAGACATGGGAAGAGAGAACGGAGAGTATAACACTTTTCCACTCAGTAACATTTTTGCCATTTGTTTTCCTGCTCCCTACCATTTCTATGCATCTTCCTTCATGACTTTTGTTGCAGATATTGCAACTAAACGTTTCTGTGCATAACTACAAACAAAACAAAACCCTCCAGATGCCAGTCTCCTACATGCCAATGACGTTTGGGCCTGTCTTGCTGTGATTAGATTCAGGTGATTCCGAAGAGGAATCCTACATAAGTGAGCTATGTCCTCCTCACAGCAAGGGAGTCCACAGTCTCCTTATTGGGGATTCTGAGTTTGATCATCTGGTTAAGGGAACGCCTCAGTTCCTTTCCTGATCCTGGAACTGCAGTTATATCCATACCTGTTTGAGTATACACTAACTTTTCACTCTGATTTTATCAGGGCCCATTCAGGTCATCTATGATTACATTCAATAGTAAACCTGGAAGTCCCTTTGTGGTGACTTGGAAGACAAATGAAATAAGAGGAACACGTGAGAGAGCACAGATATTTGCTCACCTAGTTTGAGCTTTGTATGTGAATGATTTCATGAACACTCCTAAGAGAACTGTAAATAATGTGTGCTGAAGTGTTCGCAGGGTGAGTAAACGTCAATCTTTAAAAAAAAAAAAAACAAGGTTTTAATGTGTAGATGTGAAATAGCAAACAGCAGGTTCTCTGCACGAACCTTTCCACATTTCTGTAATTCCTGAAGGTTTTGACGAAAAATGATTAGGTTAAAGCCGTGCTTGGAGGAGCACGCCTTTAATCCCAGTATTTAGGCGGATCTCGTCGTTTGAGGCTAGCCTCGTCTACAGGGCAAGTTCCAGAAAGCAGGAAACCCTGTCTCAAAAAAAAAGGGGGGGAGGGAGAGATTAGATTAAAAATGCAGTCCCCACTCCAAGGGAACGGGCCAAACAACAAACACAAAGCTGAACTGTGGAGCAGGCAGTGGCTGAGGAGTTAATTCAAGTCAGCAGCGCCACTCACGCCCCGCCCCGTTGCCACTGTCAGCCCCGCCACGGGACCCTGAGCTCCTGAACTCCCCTCTCTGCCCAGGCCGCCTCCTGCTCGCCTGGCCTCAGTGTTCGCAGCACACTCCATCACCTGGTTCCCAGAACTCAGATTGCGCAGTGGTCACGTCATCATCGGCAGGGCCCAAAGCAGGCGGCGTGGGCATCCCTAAACCTGCGCCCCCCCAACCCATCAAACCTCACCTCCCACTCGGTCCCTCACTCCTCAGCTCCCCGCGCCAGGTCCCCTGGCCCCATCACCTGCCACGTTTTCATAATCCTCTCAGGCTCCGGACCAGCAGCGCCGGCCACGGGAGGCCTGATCATATAAGGAAAATACCTCGGGCTCACTTGGGGCTGAGTCGGGGACCCAGGCGCGCCCTACTCTACTGCATTCCCTTTCCCTTCTCCAGGCGCCCCGGCTACCGGCAGCGGAAGCCCTCTAGCTCAGGCCTCTGCCATCAGACTGCGCAGGCGCAGGAGCAGCCACTCGCGCCGCGCCGCCGCCAGCCCCGCCCCTTCCAGTAGGCCCCGCCCACTAAAACTTGGGTGGGGCGGGGCTGGGATCTTGCTGCCAGTCCTGTACTGCGGTGCCCCAGACTGGAGATGGACAGAACGGGCGGAGTTTCTAGAAGCCGGGGATGAGACCAATGATTGGACTGTGTGGCCGAGGTCATCCCTGATTCCCAGGGGAGGGGCGCGGGACACGTAACGGGATTAGGGTAACCTTGACCCTGGCAACTGCAGGAGCTGGGGGGGAGGGGGCATTGTAGGGGAAAGGGCAGGGGTGCGGCCTCGCGGAGCGCCGCCCACACTCTTAAGGCTGGGCTAGGGCGGGTGGCCGAGTGTTGCCGACGCAGCCCCACTGAGTAACCGAGCTTCACCATGGCGCTGCTACGAGGTGAGCCCATCGCGCTTGGTGACCCCGGGCCGGGCTTCGGCTTCTGAGCTCTAAGGGCAAGCCGAGGTGGCGGGTGCAGGTCATTTCCCCGGGTTGGGGTCGGGATAGACATTGTTTGCCTTGAGGAGGAAACTTCATAGGAGGCACGGGCGACAGCGGTGCAGTTTCGAGCGGACAAACTGGAGACCAGGATTGGCTCTACTCCTGACCTTGGAGGTCACTGGAGTGAAAGTGATTTCTTTCCTACTTACTCAACTCTGCAGGAAAACGCGCTGGTGCCAGAAACACTAACGAGGTGGTCTGGGGCAGAGCGGGTGTGCACTGAAGCACAGAGGCCTGGTCTCAGCCACGGTGTGCGGGGAAGATAATACTCCCCAAGAGGCTTCAGGGAACCTACACTGGGGTGTCCCGATCCCTCAAAATAATTGGCAGTGACTTGTTTGAAACTCCACCTCACCCCTTTTCTCTTCCACTCCTTTAGTGTGAGCGACAGCAGAAAAGTGCAGGCCCTCAGTTTCTAACTGCAGGGTTATTGTTTTAAGAAATTTCACGCTCCTTTTTCATGGCAACTCAACAGGAAACAGTTTTAACTTAAAGACACAAGTCTCTGTTGACTATGAGGCTGAAAGAATACGTATCAGATCCGTGAGGCAGGAGAAGACTTCACGTGATCTAAAGACATTGGTGGTGCAAATACAAAGTGGACCGAGTAGGCGTTATCATGACCCCAGGGGAAGGCAATGCAAACATTTCAACCGGGGAGGGCACCGGCTGGTCGCTACTCTGTCTTGATTCCCTCTTGGCTCTGGCATTGCCTTTAAAATAAAGGACAGCTGGCAGAAACTTTGACTTAGAACGTGAGTTTGACAGTGAAGTGGCCGTCGATAGGCTGTGGTGGATGAAATGGTAAAAATAACGGTACCACCATTCCAGGAATGGTGGGGCCACAAGGGGCATTGAGTCCCAATTTCCAGAGGCAGAGAGCCGTGGCAGGTGAGGGACCAAGACAGATAGGCACACCATGCGGAGTGAGGTTGGATTTATTTAGTGGATTGTGGGAGAGAAGGGGAAGAGATTATGAGGAGGAGGGGGAGGAGCCACACAGCAGCTGCCTCTTTGGGAGAGACAGAAAGGAAGATATGCCTGTCTCAGCGGTGGGGTGGGGGTGGGAGGACAGAACAGACCATTACAGTGGGGAAATAAATGTAAAGGGAATGCCAAATGACAGATTCAGTCTTGTGGAACTTCTTTACTATGGGCGATAGCACTTGATGGGGGAAAACCGGGGAAGAAAGACGTGGAACGATTGAGGGTTTATTTTAAGTGAAAGCTTTTGATACCTGTGAAGTATGTAAGGGGAGGTGGCGACAGGCACTGATTAGTGAGATCCTGAAGTCCAAAGAGCCTAAGAGACACGTGACTGAACCAAGTGGGTGTTCTGGGAAAAATGCAGTGTGTCAGGGTTGCCACGCTTCTCTGATCTTACAGATTCCTTTGAAATGTTAATGAAAACAACAAACCTATCAAGGAAAAGTTGCACAGCAATGTCTGTGTTAAAGAAATAAAAGTAGGGGTGTGTGTGTGTGTGTGTGTGTGTGTGTTAGAGGTTGTGTTCTAGGACACGAATATCCCTGTCATAGGTGGTAGTAGGCATGAGCAGAAAGAACCCAAGCCTTGAGCCTGGCCTAGTGATTGTTGGGCTCTGTTTCAATTTGCATACCAACTACCTGGTGAGACTAGCCAGGAAGAAGGCCACAGGACTGAGTGCTATAAGGAAAAGGCACATTTGAGTGGGAATGTAATGAGCATTAGAAATGATTTCCAGTGCTTTTCAACCTTCCTAATGCTGCAACCCTTTAACACAGTTCCTCATGTTGGGGTGATCCCCAATCATAAAATTATCTTCTTTGCTACTTCATAACTGTAATTTGCTACTGTTATGAGTCGTAATGTAAGTATCTGTGTTTTCCAATGATCTTAAGCAACCCCTGTGAAAGGGTTGGTGGACCAAGCGGCCCCGGCCCACAGGTTGGGAAACATTGTTAACAATCACCGTACTGTTTGGCAAGAAGTTTCACCGACAAGTCTTACTCTCCTTATCTTTGTTGGGAAGGTTCAGAACCTCTCAGACAAGCCAGGCAGGGCTGCCAACTTCCTCTTGAAAGAAATGGCTGACTGGCAGTTTTCCTGGGCTTTGATAGTTGCTCCCACCAAATGAGAACTTATGTAGCAAAGTTCACATGCAAGTCGACACAGTTCATGTTTTCCCCTGAATTCTGACTCCATGTTCTTTGGATTATTATCTATTTCCTGTCTGGAGGGTTTTTTGTTTGTTATTGTTGTCTTTTAGAAGTTCTAGCATCTCATTTCTCAGAGCATTTTAGATTTTAATTTGATATTGAAGTTTTTTTTTAGACCTTTAAATATCCACATATTGGCTTGGTGTTAGAATGGTTTATGAAATAACCTGTAAGGTTTCATCTTTGTATCTACACATCCCGTGTTATTTTTTTTAAATAGTTGAATAATACAATCAGGCTGACCTTTCTAGTCTGGGATCACAGGGTAAGGAGCAGTAAGTAATCCAGGAGAATGGGAAGTCTGTGGGTTGTTTTTATTTTCCCACAGACATTCTTTTTTGCTGAGCTCACTTATCCCACTACTAGTACTTCACGAATATTCTTTTGGATTGTGGACAATGGGGAAGATGAGCAATGAAAGGAACTTGCGAAGAAACATGAACTTAGCCTCTGTTGTTTCTTCCGGGTCGTCTGTGACCATTCCATGTTCCATGTACATAACGTATCAACCCCTCACCCCCACCACAGCAGATGTTTAAAATTCCCTTGTTGTGGGACCTGGAGAGATGGCTCAGTGATTAAAGAGCATGTACTGCTCAGGCAGAGAACCTGGATTTTGGTTCTGGCACCCCGGCCAGTCAGGTGGCTTATAACTGCTCAGCCCACTGGCCCCTTCTGCCTTCCATGGGCACTGCTTCCCATCATTCATACATACATACATGCATGCATACATACATACCTAAAAATAAAAATACACCTTAAAAATTCCTTGTGTTGGGATTTCAAAAGTTTCACAGTTACACAGCCAGCACGTGGTAGGAAGGTGTATGTAAAATGTATATTCTATTTGGGCTTCCCTAAATTTGAACCTATAAATTTGAATTTTACCAAATGTAGAGAATTTCCATTTAGTATTTCTTCAAATTGTTTTCTTCTGACTCATTTTCGTCTCTGTGGTACCATAACTGCTACTGGTCCTGAGGTTCTAGTTCTTTCTCCCCCATTCACAGTTTTCTTCACAGACATTTGTTGAGCAGGTTGGAGTTTACAGATGCACACACATTGCTGAATGGCAGTTCGCCTAATTGTTAGCACCGTTTGTGTGGTACATCTGGGTCTTTTGTTCATTTATTAGTTTTGTTGGTTTTAGGTTTTGTTGTGGTGGTGATTTTTTTTTGTTTTCCATTTGTTTGTTTTGTTTTTCTCAAGACAGAGTTTCTCTGGCTGTCTTAGAACTCACTCTATAGACAAGGGTGGCCTCGGACTCAGCTTTGCCTGCCTCTGCCTCTTTAGTAGTGCTGATGGGATTAAAGTTGCGCACCACCTGAGTTTCTGTGGTGTGTTGTTATAATTGACTAGCTAATATTGACACATTGTTATTTACCAAAGTCCATAATTTACATCAAAGTCCACACTTTGTTTAACTCAGTGCTTTGAGGTGTGACAGATGTATAAATGACAAGCATCACCAGCATAGAGCAGAGGAAATTTTTTGCCCTGCAAATCCCATGTCCCACCTACTCACTCCTGTTTCTGAGCCCTTTGCCAAGTGCTCACCTTTGTCCTATCTGTAGCTTTGCCTTTCCAGATATTTATGTAGTAAGAACATAGTGTGTGGCATTTCCAGACTGACTTCTTTTCAATACAAAGAGTCCTTCTTTTATTGCCAAAGTAAGATTCCATTTTATATGTGACACTTTATCACATATTGAAGAGCATCTTAGGTGCTGCCTTGTTTTGGCAATCACAAATAAACAAACACGTGTGTAGGCTTGCAAGTCCCTTAGGGAACTACAAAGACTCACAGTCACTAGAGCCAGCAGTTAAGGTATGCTTTTGTTTGAAGTTGGTAAACTGTCTTCCAATATGTGTTGTCTTGTCTTCCACTGACAACAAATGGCTTCCTGCCTCACTAGTATTTGGTAGCGTCAATATTTGGGTTTTAGCCATGGAAACGGTTGTGTGTTTTAACATTGTTTTAATTTATATTAATGACCTCTAGTGTTTATCATCTTCATGTATGCTTGTTTGCCATCTGTGTGTTTTCTTTGATGAACCCTGTTTCTGTTTTGTTTTTTGGTTTCTGGTTTTTCTAGACAGTGTTTCTCTGTACCTTTTGGATCCTTTCCTGAAACCAACTCTTGTAGACCAGGCTGGCCTCAAACTTACAGAGATCCACCTGCCTCTGCCTCCCGAGTGCTGGAGACGTGTGCCATCACTGCTTGGCTTTTGTCCAGTTTTCAAAATATGTTTTCATTAATTCTTTAAGAATTTCTTACAATTGTATTTAGATAATTTTCACCCCCACTCCTCCCTCAAGCTCCTCCAAAATTCACAATCCGCTTCCCACCCCTCCCAATGTCATGTCCTCTTTTTTTGCCTTT